CCGAGATTCCGAGCGATTACCCATGTCACAGTGGTGCACGTTGAGACCCAGTTGACGCCCGAAAACGGTCAGAGAGCGTGTCGCCGTGGTGCCTTGTGTCGGATGCTGTATTCATTTTAGTCCCCTTTGAACCTTAACAGATGTGATGTGAGTGAGATTCCATTGGGTCGTAAGTGGGCAAAACAAGACATACTGCAACTCACTCAAGACATGAAGACTCAGCCCCAGATCAACCACTAACAGGAGTTCGACACAGAAACTGCTCCGAGGATGCCATCACAAGTCAACTTCAGATTTTGGGATGTCCCCCCTATACTAACAGCGGTCCTTAACAAGGATTCTAATGGGGGGGGTACTAAAAAACCCCGATTAAGGACTGCTAGTATAAGAGGGAACATTCCAAATTAGATTCATGAAGGTTCTTGTGCCGGTCTCTATGTATTGTGCAATGACAGTGTTGCAAACAATAAGAAAGCCCATTTATAATACAGAAGGTTAACGCTTGTTTTAGTGAACAGCCAAAAAACCTTCTTTTAATAATTGAAAAAGATAGGGGCTTGTGGGCTAAGTGTAGAATACTACATAGTGCACAAGGTGTATAACTTTCCGTATATTGAATATTGAGGTTAAATTTTTGTGCCTATATTTGTATATGTATGCAACTTTATGTATGTATCTATATTGCATATAGTGACTCTCAAACAGTCTGTGTATATAAATATATACATACATACATACATACATACATACATACATACATACATACATACATACATACATACATACATACATACATACATACATACATACATATACATAATTTGCATTTGCTTACATGTATTGACAGTTTTGTTTATCTATCTGGGACTACACAATGCAATGTAACATACTGTACTCCTGCATTCCATAATGCAATACGATTTTGTGCTATGCAATATAGAATGTGTACATACTGCAAGTATCTTCAAGTGCAAGTATCCAGTGTAAGTACACCCTAAACCCTAAACCCTGAACCCGAAACCCTAAACCCTAAAACCTCGGTGCGTCTGGGGACCAAAGCCGACGCCCAGAATGGCCGAGCCATTCCTGGTCGCTCTCCCAGTGCCGCCAAAGCGCCCTGGGCGTGCTCTGCGATTTAGGGTTTAGGGTTTCAGGTTTAGGGTTCAGGGTTTAGGGTTTAAGGTTCAGGGTTTAGGGTAGGGTTTCAGGTCAATAAGGCTGAGCATTTCAAACCCTAAGCAGCCTTACCCCTGAAGTCCTGAGAACCCCTACATCCTGAATCCTAAAGACATTGAGACTTTAAGGGTTTAAGGTTTGGGGTTTAGTGTCTAGGGTTTAGGGCTTAGGGTTTAAGGCTTCGGGGTAAGGCTCCTCAAAACTCTGGGCTCCCCCCCATACGAAAGCTCAAGAAAATCATACGAAGTAATAGACGTCGTTGCACTGGTCGACCCGTATCAAACTGACCGCAATTCCTAAACCCCGTGAAGCAACTATAACCCGAAATTGTCCAGGACATGTCAAGCCATCAACCCAAACTCCCAAGCTCTGACGCTTCGGTCCAGATGTAGGTGCTGGATTCTGCAGCCAGGTAAAGCCCCTAAACGGTCTGCCCAGCTTCGTTGCTGCAGGCGCTGCGTGAAACCAGGTAGATCAGCATCAACACTTGCACCGTATTGCCAGATGCCTTTGGGCTTGGGGAGGATTCGGGGTTTAGGGTGGTTCGGGGTTAGGGTGTATAGTACTTGAACCTAACACAACGCGCCTCGCCATCCAATGAGGGCATGCTTCACAGTATAGCTGTTCATCCATCAAGATTTAGTCGCCGACTGGAAAGGGACAGCAAGGATAGTCTTAAATTCTTGCTGAGAGAATCAGAGAAGCAGGGTCCACCCCACAAACGGCATTAGTGTCAGCTTGCAGACACACACACACACACCCCACCCAGAAAGCTAAGGTCTAACCTCTAGATGGAGATGGTCTCCTTCTTAGGTAAGGGTTCAATGGCGCACACTTTCTGCTAACCTCAACCAAGCAGAAGATACTGGAGAGCGAAGACTCCCAAAACCATGCGTCACCAACAAACAAAACTCCCCAAGCCCTCCACCACCCCAAATCCTAAGTCCTCAAACCCTAAACCTCTAGACCCCTAAACCTCTAGACCCCTAAACCCTAAACCCTAAACCCTGAACCCTAAACCCTAAACCCTAAACCCTAAACCCTGAACCCTGAACCCTGAACCCTGAAACCTAAAGCTGCTGGTGCCCTGGTCCTCAGGTCCTGGCACTGCCACTGTGCCTCGGAAAATGGTGAGTCCTGCCGCCGACCGCCACCAATCACTAGGGCGTAGCAAGGGTTGAGGGTTTAGGGCTCAAGTGGTTTAGGGTTAAGGGATAAGCTGACTCGATGATACTCGAGGTTGCAGTTGTAGCCCAAGTTAAGGTGCACATGAACCCTACTTCAGCCACCCAACCAACAAGGACTAAGGTTCAGGGGTCCGTGGCTTCAGGTGACCACGACCCAACGCCGAACCCTCATAGCGTCCACTCAACAAACCAATCCAGTTGCGACACCCTAAACATCAAGACCTTAATCCTAAAACCCCAAACCCTCAACCCTAATCCTAAACCCTAACCTTAAACCTTGAACCCCAAACTCCAAGCAATCCAACATTGTGTGGGTTCGTCCTGTGTCTGAACCGAAGTCTTCGATGCATTGGTGCGATGCTGTATAAGACAAGATGTCTGACCTGCTCAGGGAACTTAGAAGTTTTAGCGTTTGGGCGGCAGATTGGCAGACTTTGAGGTCACGTGCGCCGTGCGACTATCTTTCTCACATCGAGAAGGAAGCAACTTTTCCAGTAGTTGTTCCATGGTGTCCTGGTTTCTTTGCATGCGGAAGTGCAAGGATCGCTTCGAAAAAACACATTTCTACACGTCAGAAAGCATTTTAAGCCCTTCCCGGAAGCAGAAAGGGGGGCAGAATACTGCATTGGAGCCTGGAGCCACTGGCAACTCGGCAGTCTCAGCGTCCTGGCAGCCTCAAGCAGATGCCCACACTGAGGCCAAGCAAATCTGGGGGAGCTATGTGGGGAATTTGAAAATGTTTCCGACTCAACCCCGGGAAGCCTGCCCCGCATGCGTTCACGAGGAGCGCATGGAAGGCAAGCAGATGTGCCGTGAATGGCACACACGGTTTCATGGATGGAAGGTTGAGCCGCGGCGGCTCTGCCAAGACACATACAGGTGAGCTTCGACCCGCGAGGGTATATTGCAACACTCCAGGCCCTCCAAAGATCACCCAAAAACAATCCATCAAAACCCTTAAGGCTGCCCACGTATATACACCCACTGACGCCGAATTCAAAATCCCAAGTCAAGAGTTTGGGTGCTGGGCTTCGGGGTTTTAAGCTCAAGGAAGGTTGGATAGAAGTCTGTAAAACGCCCACAAGGTTTCGGTCTGTGCTGTGTGTGTGCACGGGGCTTCACGACAAAGGTTTTAGCCGCAGCCGAATTCTGCATGCAGAGCAGTGGGTTGAACTCTGAAGCTTTCACGATGCATGGCTGTCGCAGTTCGCGATTATGATGCATGTCACGCAAGACCCTTCATCACCTGCCACTCGGCAAGAACTGGTGTAGACCGCGCAAATCCCATTCTGTATCGCTATCGCACCGCACAACGACTTAAAGAGCCTCTGCTAGTGATGCGAGCATTCTTGGCGGCCGCAAACACAACTGCACTTAGACGCTTAAAAGCTGTTGCGTCTCGCGCCCCTTGGAAGTTGCAGAAGAAAGAAAAGGGCTGCAGAACGCATGGAAAGTGATGCAAGCAGGCATTGACGCAGTTAGAAGGCGGCCCCACCGGCAGTCGCCTCTAACGGTGCTGCAGAATCGATGCTTTGACTGTGGAGGTCACCACATAGGGCCTCGGGTTTTCTGCCAGTTTCGGGCATCTACTTTCAGGACCTTCGAGTCGAGCAAGATTGCATTGGCAAGATTGCCCAAGGCCGAATGTAGACCGACATGTACACATTTTGAGCCTCCAGCTAGCAGTTCCCACGACTCCTTTTGCGCCGACACAGACAGGTTTCCTTCAGTCAAGCTTCTGCGGATAGGCAGAAACAGAAAACAACAAATCCTTGGCTGCAGCACGCCCTCTTCGGCATCTTTGCTTCCCACCTGACCGACAATTCTGAGGCTGCAGCACAGCCTCCCCGGAATCTTTGCTTCCCTTTTTTTTTGGAAGCTAGCTCGTTTACCGCATCAGCAGCACAGTGAGTCTGTCTCCAAGCCGATTCGCTCGTAGTGACGGGTGAAACACTCTCCATGGAACAACACAGCAGCCGAAATCTCTGCTTCCCACCAGACCCAAAATTCTGAGGCTGCAGCCTCACCCAAAAGAATAACGGCAGCGCGGTCCCCCGCGCGCGGGCACGCGTACAGCCCCCTCCTCGGAGTTTTTCCTTGCTCACCAAACACAACCGCGTACTTTTGCGGCTTTCAGGCAAAATCCAGGGGTCGATATAGACCGACTACGCCTGCCAGGTTCATTTGCACCGACCGGCTACTTTGGTGTTCATTCCGTGCCGACACAGACCGGATACTTTCAGCAAGGCTTCTGCACATAGGCAGAAGCCTTAGGGGCAGCTTCTCAGCCTCCCCCAAAAAATCTTGGTTGCAGCGTGGCCTCCCCGCGGTCTTTGCTTCCCACGAAAAATCTGAGGTTGCAGCACAGCCTTACTGGGGGCTTTCCTCCAGTGCTGACACAGACTGGCCACTTTGGTGTTCCTTCTGCGCCGATACAAACCAGACACTTTCAGGAAGTCTTCTGCAGGTAAGCAGAAGGTGTGAGTTGCAGCTTCTGAGGGCAGCCTGACCCGAAACACGCTTGGTCGCAGAACGGGGCCACCCAAACTGAAAACAGAAGACATGATCTTGAGGCTTTCAGGGCAGGGGTCCCGCCCTGCGGTCGGGCAAAAGCGACTTTTTGCACGCTCACGGCTTTCACAGAGGCACATCGCAATCGATGCATATCGAATTTCCACGAAGCCATTCCTGGTCTTCCGGACTGCAATCTTGCAGCTCTGTGCGCCAGGAGTTAGAGGTAATCAGCATGGCCACACCATACACGAAGACCGAGTAGCTGTACATGTTCGTGGAGCTATGGGCCAAACTGACTTCCTCGACAGGGCCCTGGAAAAGCTTTCTGTGGGCCAAAACCATCTGGCAGCAGGCCTCGTCGAAAAGGATTGCTTTGTGGCGAAGTGGGTCGTACTCACGCAAGTCCGGATGAAGGACGCCGGAGCAGTTGAGCTCCAGAGTGGCATCATGCCCAAACAAGCCACGGCCATAAATAGTCTTTCCCAATCTTGTAGGGCCTGTCAAGACAAGAAACTTGCGCCGAAACATTGGCCGTCTGAATTGTGGCAGAAAATCGGACTCCACCTGCTGTATTCGAATGGGGTCTCTCATCAAGGGCTGCAAGTCACGTAAGGCAGCTGCCTGTCGTTCAGCCACAGCATCGGCACGAACACACTGGGTGTGAAATTTCACATTCTCCAGGTACGCCCGGACGTGTTTTTTGCACTTCACATATTCTTTCTCGGCCGTCTCTTTGGTGATCTTGCAGCTTTGCCACAGAGAAGTCACCCATTCGGGCGACACCCCAAAACATGTGTAGCACGCGGCCGTGGTTGTCATGTAAATTGCACCGATCTTGGGGCATTGCAGATAGTAGTGTCCCTGATCCCAGGCCTTGCGACAGGATCTCCCGCGAGCCTGCGCACAGTCCACAGACATGTGGCCCACGAAAGACGACATCACCTTTGCCCGTGGACACACTTTTTCTGCTGTCCCACATCAGATGCAAGTGCACAGCCGCCTGCTTCCGCTCAAGACTCACTTGGCTGTGGAGCTCCAAGGCAGCTGTGGCGCGATCCAAGTGAAAGCGACGCTGCAAGTCCTTCACAAAGTCCTGAAAGTCAGACCACAAACGCAGGACCTCTGCATTTGCACGTAGCAATTGGCAGACCTCATCAATTGATGGCTTCTGGTCCGTCAAAAGCAAGGTGATAGAAGCATCCTCAATCTTCGACCAAGACCCACTGTAGCGAAACATGGTGCCGCATCCACGATATGACAACAACACGGGTTCCTGGACGATGGGTGTTTCTATCGTCCAGCTTGCCAGGAGGGAGCGGGCCGCTGCTCGCAAGTTCTGCGGGACCTGGTCTCGCATACCTTCCAAAACGGCGCTTTTGTCCGGTTTGCTGCTGAATTCCACCCTCAGCCGCTGCCGTTGCTCATGTCCACGCAGATTCCGAGCTGTCATTTGTTGCGCTACCCACCTGTCCCGGATGAAAGTCTGTAATGCGTTTCGGGTGTCCCTTGTGTTGAGGCCTTCAATCGGAGCTTGCTTGCCACACAGCCGTCGCCTCTTGTTGGGCTCCATGGCTCAAGGCTTGCAAAATGCAAAGCCTGAATTACTAATTTTGCTGGTTGCACGTTGGCAGTGCAAAGGAATTGTTGCTTGTAACGTTCGGCAGTGAGAACGGTGAGGTTTAGGACTGCGCTGCGGCTCTTCGGTCCTGAGCCTCTTGGGGCAGCGGGGGCTCTGAGCAGTGAGGGCGGGGCTGCTCATGTGGGCTGCGCTGAATAAGCTCTACTTCAGCCATCACACGCGGACACACTTTTGGCAGCAAGTAGCACCATTGTGGGCAGGGCCCAGCCTGCCTATCGTCACTCGACCCCAGGCCGCTGCTTCAAGGACTCCAATTGGAGAGAAGCACACATGGGTGCAACAGCTCCTCCTCCGCAGCAGCTCCGCTGCACCATCAGTTCACCCGGAGCGGGCGGGACTTTGATAAACTATCGGCTGTACTGATCGGCAGCCGGCAGAATAAACAAGTATGCCAAAGCAACACGCTGACACTTCCCGTGACACGCAGTACTGATCGTACCACAGAACCCACCAGGAACGCAGCAGGACCCTTCTCTGAGCACCTTCCCAGGGGCAAAAGGGGCTCACAGGACCACGCAGGACCTAGCTGAACGCCAGACTGCAATGTGGGGAGGGCGGTCCTGCCAAACCGTGGTGGGAGGATAGAATTATTATTCCAAAAAACGCATTTGCAGGACCATCTGTTTCCTGGCAAACACACTGCCAAATTGAAGATTCTAGTGGTCTCCGGTCCGGCCGCGTGGCTGTTTGGCCTACGAAGGTGACTCCACTCATGTGAAGGCTAGGCTTCACACGTGGTCGACAAGGCCTCTCTAGTCATGTCAGAGCTTCAAGCTTGACCCAATAGGCCTTCTCTTCAACGCCCCAGTGAAAGGATTTGAAGAAATCTAAGAACTACCTGTACCAGCGGCTTGCCGCCCACTCACAGAGGGCCCCGAAAACGCGGGTGCTGCAATGGAAACATGGACGATACCACAGTTTGGGCAAGAATGCGCCAAACATGGACGAGACCACTGCTTGGGCATGAATGGAGAAAAAGAACAAGGACGGGCACGAGGGAAATCTCATGGCATGACAGGCTTCCGCGTGCAGTGAAACCGTAAACTGCGTGATTCTCTGAGAACATATGAGAAGCGACACTTAAGGTGTTGCAAACCTCAGAATGGAACTGCTCATCGATTGTGTTTTGGAGCGGTTTTTCTGAGACACCTTATCGTTGGTATCTGAGCTACCGTTTTCCTTTTTTTATGAGCTGTATTTCTTGATTTTCTGCGCTACCTTGTCCGTATTTGTGCGGCACGCTCGATTTCTATGAGGTTTTGGAAATTGGGTTTAGGAAGCTCAAAAAGTGACGAAATGGTCTCAAACGCCCCTCACTGGTTGCGAAAAACGGAGAATTATCACGTTTGCGCTGCGCGCTGCATCCTAAACCCCAAAAGGTGAGACGCCGTCTCTGAAAGGCCTAAACTCCATGTAAGAAGCCTTGGCTCCAAGAAGTGAAATGGCGATTTTGCCCATGTTTTCCATATGCTTGTGTGTCCGTATTTATGTGGCGCGCTCGATTTTTATGAGGTTCTGGAAACCTGCAAATTGGGTTTAGGATTGCGGCTCAAAGCTCAAAGCGTGACGAAATTGTCTCAAACGCCCCCCACCAGTGGCGAAAAACGGAGAATTATCACGTTTGCGCTGTACGCTGAATCTGCAGATTCGGTGTAGGATTGTGGCTCAAACGCAAAAGTTCATGACATAAAACTCGGAAAATCATAAAAAGTAGCTCACAAACTAAGAAAACCTCGCTCAGAAAACAAGAAGGTTGCAAAGGTAGCTAAGTAAGACAAGGTGTCTCAGAAAATACAAGCCGGTCGTGTGGACTTCTTCTTACCTGATGCGCCGCCCCAGCTAAACTCCCCACGTGACTATGTCGGTCTTCCACACACATCAGCTGCCAACAGAGGTGTCCGCCAAGTCCTTGCAAGAATCCACTCTCCACCAGAAGCGTCAAGTCATTTGTGCTCAGCTCACAACCCCTGTGCACAACTCTCGGAGCCAATCCCGGACTATGCCTTCCGCACAAGCAAAACGAAAACACAAAACAGTCAGATTCCCCTTGCACGCTCCCGGGCTGCGAAGAGCATTCCGTGTCCGTCAGTCCTCCTCATGCAAGATTCCACTCTGCACCTGCGTGTCATCTACTCAATTCAAACATCAGGACAAGACCCCGGTGCACAACCCTCAACGCCTGCCTACTCAGCTCTTCTGCTCAGCTCAAACATCAAAGTGCCCTGCTTACAAGCGGTTAACAGAGACAACGCAAAACAGTCGGACTTGTGCGCTCCAGGTCTGAGATGGTGGCGAAACGTCATCCGCGGCATGCAAGATTCCACACTCACCTGAGCGTCAAGTGCTTCACTTGGCTCAAAAACATCAGACAAGACCTCTGTGCTCAACCTCAGAAGCGTCAAGACGCTGCTGCTCAGCTCAACCATCAAAATTACTGCCCACAAGTCACCAAGAGAGAACACAAAACAGTCGGATTCCCCTTGCACGCTCCGCGAAGAGCTTCCATGTCCGTCAGTCCTCGTCATGCAAGGCTTAAAATCATCCGGACAAAAGACTCCGTGCTCAACCCTCAGAAGCGTCAAGTCGCTGCTGCTCAGCTCAATCCAAGTACAACCCCTGCCCACAAGTTGCCAAGACAGAACACAAAACGGTCGGATTCCCCTTGTGCGCTCCAGTGTCTGAGATGGCGGCGAAGAGCATTCCATGTCCGTCAGTTCGCATCATGCAAGATTCCTGCACCTAAGCGTCAAGTGGCTTCTACTCAGCTCAAACATTAGGAGACTCCGGTAAACAACCCACAGGCGTCAAGTCGCCGGTACCCAAAAAACCCAAGCAAAAGCGAGCCCTGTTTCGGGGCCTCCAAAAGCAGTCCGGGGCGCGGGGTCAGTCACTGAGTACAGGAAACCAAAATGTCCCAAAAGTGGCCCGACAAAAGGCTCGAAAGAGGCACCCACAAACAGGCCCCAAAAGAGTGACCAAAAGAACAGCAAAAAACCCTTCCGGGTGCAACCTGAAGGGTTTTGGAGGACTCCTGGCTCTCCAAGTATGTACATGCTCTCTCTTGACGCAAATTCTGGACCCGAAGTTTTACATCATCTTGCCTCGACCTACTTGGACTGTGCAGAACAGAAGAATCTTCCGTGAGTGCGGATAACAAACGCTGGCACCATTTGCGCAGGCCCCGCTTTGCTGCAGAAAGCGCAGAAGGTTTCTGCCACAACGCTGCAGGCAGGGGGCACTGTCTCCGCCAGGGCAGCACACAAGCGGTCTTAGACGCAACACTTGCAAGCTTAACAACCAAGAGACCTCTGGAACGGTAGCCTTGCAAGGCATTTAACGTCTACACCAGCTCTTGCCCCTTACTTCTGCGCACCAGTCTTATTTGCTTCTTGAAAGACTTCCTGTGTGAAAACACAGCAGCAGCGCGCTGAACCCTCTTTTTCTCACGACTTGAGCCAAAGTCATAAGCCGGAGGCTTCGTCAGTGAAACTCTTTACACACAGGTGAAAACTCTGCTCTGCCACGTGTTCTCCACAGCCACAAAACAAACTCAAACGTCAGTGGGAGTTCTCGGGACCTACCCAACTACACCTAAAGCAAGCAAAAACGTGCACAGTCACTTCTACAGCTTCCAGACACACATCCCTACAACTCAAGCACTTCAAAAGGCTTTCCCACTTAAAGCAGCACTCCCGTCGAGCCTCCAAGGCACAACTACGGAGCTCCTACAACTACACACACACAACTCTGAGCCAGCATGCAGGACAACAAAGTTAACATGTCCTTAGACAGGAACTTTCGTCTGCACGCTGCGAGGCGTAGCCACCCGAAGGGGCTGTGGGTTCAAGTGAAACAAAAGCTTACTAAAACTGTGGGGTGAAACTGCCGGTAAGTTCCCCCTCTCATTCCTTGTCCTCGGTTTTGACGTACCGCTACCCTCAACCGAAGTGAGGCCGGAATGTCGTTTTGACCAAGTCGTTGCCATTGGCTTGAAGACTTTGGCCAAGGCAAATTGCCTGTATGCTTGCACATTCTCTGTGTTGTCTATTCGGGAGGTGATCCATGCCCTCGTTCGTGGAGGCCGCTATCCCTCAACCGAATGGAGGTCAATTCCTGTAGACCCAGATGCTCGTTCTACGAGTCTCATTGCATGTCCTGAGTGCTTCCATCCACACCCCTCAACCGTAGTGAGGCCGGACATGTCTTCAAACCAGGTCATGGCCCGAGGCTTCATGGACTCTGGTTACGGTGGCTGCCTCTTGCATGCACAGGGCATACTTCCTGTGGCTTTTGCCGGGAG